CATCAACTATCAGAATATGTAACCCCAGTTAATAATTTGGGTGAAATGTTACCAAATGCTTGCTCTTAATCTCCCAGCAGACTCACCTACTCTACCAATCCACATAAGAAATGCCTTGGCTTGAATAAAAATTAACCACATCCACAAATCCACAATCTTTATTCTTTACTTGTGAAAATATTTCTCCTGGATTTTGATGTCTGATGGTGTTTGATTAAAGAGTGTTGACGTTATTCCTTAGTCATCCTCATTCCTTACCCTTTCACTTCGTATTGATTTGTATTGCTTTAATTTTCACATTTTGATGTCAAATTAAAAGTAAAAACATTTCCAGATGTAAGTTACGACAAAAAGGCGCAAATGGCAGGAACTCATTCCATTCAAGTTTATGCCAATTTTTGCCAGTAAGTGGCAAAAACAGGTATGCCAGTCAATTTATGCCGCGGTTAAAACCGGTTAATATCACTTGGTGCCGGTGGCATAAACTCGCCAACCCTGCGTTACGCAAAAAGGTGTAAGCCCAGCTAACAATTTGCCGTTGTTACAACGTCGTTTAAACGTTGTCAAATGGTTACCACAACGTCCCGATTTATCGTTGTGACAACGTAATTTTGTAGACTCCAGACAACGGCGTGACAACGTCATCCGACCATGCATTTGAATGTCATCACAACGTTTCTGTAACGTGGCCGTGACGTCCCAAAACTGTTCTTACAACGTCCCGCCAACGTTATTAAATGTTTTCTGTAACGTACCAACAGTGTTTCTGGAACGTTGTCACCACGTTTCCGCAACGTGACTACAAGGAGTATAGAACGCTTTGGCAACGTCTCTGCGACGTTTTTATCACGTGCGCACCACGCTGTCGCTACTTCGTATTGCCGTCCCTGCGACCCCGAGTAAACGTCCTAAACATTTTCGCAACGCCCTCAACGTGTTCGCAACATACTCAGAATGTGTTTCCGACGCTCTCTTCCCGTTCTCTAGACTTTTAAAAAAAGGCATGTAAGAAGTGTATATTTCAATACATCACACAGGTCAATTTACAAAAAAAAAAAACGACGGCGGCGGCATCGGTGATGGGGCATGGGGCAAAGGGGCGCCCCCATGGGGGCGTGGGACGGAATTGGGTTCTACCGGCTCTGGCGCTAGCCGCTAGCACGCCAGAACTGGTGGAAGTTCACTTCTTCACTAACCCTCGCTGGGAGGATGAGGATCACTCGGCGGACCGTTAGGCACCGGCTCATTTGCGGCCTCGATGTCCCTAGGCAGCTGGCAGTGCTTGACTAGACGGTCTGCGCACCCCCGTTCCGGTCGCAGCTTCCAGACAACCACTTCGCTACTGCATTGCCGACAGTAGGCCTGCCACAAGGCGCGCTGACGAGTTGCAGGACGTCTGCGGGAAGACATGAGGGAAAATCAGACATTCAATTCATGAAAAAAAAAATCACAAAAATACCTGCACCACTTTCCGTAACAGTGCGACAGGCTAGATCAAACATGTCAACACCTTAGAGGCTAGAGCTACAATGAACTATAGCCTAGACCGCACGATATTACAAGGCACAATCTTGCAAATGCTACTCGTAAATGGTACTTTGACTTACCAGTCAAAACAACAATCGCATCAAACGCAGACAACTGGCGCTATCTTTCATCTTCCAGCTATCTCAGTCGCGCCCGCCGCCGGCCCTCACTGCTCGCTCGCGCCGCGTAGACTGCGGCTCGGCCGGCTGGCTCTGAACGCCGGCCGGTGACACTGACGTCACGGCCCCTCAGGCGAGGTCAGGGCGCGAGCCACCGTTCGCCTGAGTGGCGGCCCGCGTGGCTTGCTGGCAGCCGCGGATAACAGCCGCGTTTACATAGGGATAGTTGCAAGCCTCTAGCTCCGCCTGTGATGTTGCAAAACATGCCAATGACGCTTTGCAATTTACACATGTTATATATATATATATATATATATATATATATATATATATATATATATATATATATATATATATATATTAGAGAGAGATAGAGAGAGAAAGGTATCAGAATTTACTTGTAAAAACACCGCTAATTATTCAGTACCTATAATGTCAAGGTTGTGAAAAACCGTTTTAACAACGTGTTGGCGACCACCAGCTGACAACGTGAACAGTCCAAGTGTTAAAATATGTCAAATTTAACGATGAAAACTGAATATGCGCATTGAAAGTCAAAGGAAATGCATTATATGGCCATATATGTCACCATGCATTATCAAAAAATAATGCTGCAAGTGCGCGGTTGCTGCAACGTACCAATAAAACGTTGTCACCACGTTTTACCACGACTTTCGGACCAAACCATGGCTTCACAACATTCAGAACGTTGCTACAACGTAATTAGAACGTAATTTCGCAACTTACCGAAACACGACGTTGTGACAACGTGGTAGTAACGTTTCCTGTTAGCTGGGAGGGAGACTGGGAGGTATGGGCCGGTTTTGTGAAATGACATTTTCCTTCCCATGAGCAGTAGCTAGACCTAGTTTTTCACTTTTGCTACGTAATAATGCATTTCATCTGTTAAGTGTGCCTCATTCATGTCAGGCATCTGGGATCAACCATCTTGTCTCGAGGTAACTTCTAATAAATCATGCGCCTTTTCGATCCATCAAAATACCCCGGGAGGTATGGGCCATGGCCCGGGAGGTATGGGCCGGTGCCATGTTTTATATTCTACTCTCGACATTGAGCACAATACTCGTATCTGGGAATTGGGATCTACCTTGAGCTCTCTACAGGGTGTTTCACTAAAAGTGTCAAAAAGTAAAAGGTCATAATGCACATAATAACAATGTTTTCTACGGAAATTTGCATACCATTTCATCCGCAATTGTTGGACATTTGAATATATAAAAACGATAGCACCGTCACTCAAACCTATTCCACATATCCGCCCTTCTTTTGATGCACCGTTTCGGCACGTGTCCGGAGGTGCCTCACAGCCCTTTTTCATCTTCAGCGTCCAGACTGTCGGCAAAGCCTTGAATGGTGCTCTTCAGCTCCCGAAGTGATGCGACTTGAGTCTTCCTCAGCTCTGCGAGAGCTACTGACCAAAACCAGAAGTAAAACGGTGACAGATCGGGGCTTTGCGCTGGCCAGAGGCGGGCGGCGAGGCAGCTGATTTTTCGGTGCAGGAACTTCTAATCCAGCCAGTTCCTGGTGGTTACAGCCATTATAGTGGCTGTTTTTGATAACTTGTAAGGCCTTGGCTATTTCTGATGTTGAAATTAGCTTCTTGTTATCTTCAAAGACCCTCAAAAAGACCCTGACCTTTTCAACGGATTCCGCCGAGAGGTGGGGGACCCCGTCTTTTTTGGACTGCGACCGGCATCGAAGGAACCCTTTTAAACCTCTCAAGAAGCCATTTGAACCTTTTATAATCTGGAACGTAGCGAGGTGAGAGAATAAAACGTTTCCTGAAAAGTCGGCATACGGTTTCAATGTTTCTGATGGCACCAAAGGTAAGTGTAATTCACCCCTCCTGTTGCGGTGTAAATAACCTGTTCTTGTTCTGCATAAGGAAAAAAAAACGACTAGTAACTTTGGCCTCCTGCCCTCGCTCCGTATGAGTGTAAAATATATCTTAAATGGACAAGGCATAAATGTCCAAAAATTTGCAACCAAGCCACGTGCGCATACCACGTGATTTGCATATTTTATATAACTTTAATAGGCATTTACTTTTTGACACTTTTAGTGAAACACCCTGTAGGAGCCCAAGTACCGCATTAGCGGCCAACAACCCACTTCATGGAGGTCAGTTTGCCACATATTGTGTTGGGTAAGCTCAATCACGCTCCATGACATGAGACAAATAATATTTTTGTGCACCTAAATGCGATTTGTACTTAAATTTTTTGACCACGCACGACAAAAAGATAACTTATTGAAGAGGACATTCAATGAAAACATCGTTTTAATAATTTAGGATCACCGAGGGTGGGTGGCCCGAACCTCCCGGTTAGGACGCCAGAATATGCGTCGCATCTCAGTGCATAATCTTGCAAGAAAGCTTCAAATGGTCTACCCAGCCTTAAATTGCATGCTTTAAACTTGATGTTAGCGGTGGTGTGACATAATAAAACGAGCCTGGTTCAAATAAATCACGATTTTCTGCATCTACCATAGTTTACTCGAAGAGGGTGAAAACGCTTAATCACCGCTCACTGACAAGAGAGACTGAGGATGATTCGGAAAATCACGTGGGTTGTGTAACAAAATGGCTGCTACCAGTTTACGCCGTCAAATTGGAAAATATACGCAAAACGTCTTCAAAACGGCGATAGCCCATACCTCCAGGGACCCATACCTCCCGGGTCTCCCCTACTTAACTAGTAGGGTGCCGTGCAAAAGTCAGTTGGGAGTTGGGACCCAGCTGACACGTGCGCAGCCAGAATCTGCTGTGGGCCCTGGCAGGCTTAAGTGCGGCTTGCCCAATGTTTCAGTGGGGCTTAAGTCCGCTAGGGCTCGGGTTCAACTCAACGTATGACACAAAACGCCGACTAAGTCCGTGCTCCCCCGGAGGCATGCCCGCTCTGCGAACTCCAGACGGCCGTATATAATTTAGCCCTATTTGTGACGATTGGCGCCAGCCCAACGTAAGCCTGACGCTGCACGTGATTGACACGAAAATGCTCATGTGTGAACAGACGAACAAGTGTCGCTTAGCTCCGGGTTTACTCCAGTCAGCCGAAGCAGACAGCCGGCCGGATCAGCCCGCGCTCCGCCCAAGTTGAGCCTGATTTTGATGGGCGGGTCTATGTCGGGCTGAGCTGGAGCTAGCCGCATTGGGGCACATCCGTGGCCTGTCCCAGTTAAGCCGTCGTAGAAAAATCATTGATGTTGATCCAAGTTGGCAAACCCAAGCTAAGCCCAAGCCACCCGACGTTTGCCAAGTTCAGCCCAAGCACATTACTGGCTGGGCACTGGAGACCGTCTCTGTGCAGCCGGGCAACACAAACTGCACGATAAGGTAGAGTGATCTGTAATTTGCCAGCAACACAAACAGGCACAAACTGAGGCGGTATTGGACGCGCGCGCACTGTCACAAACAGGTCCTCGGCCCGCTGACGTGGAGCAGCTCAGGGATACAAACAGATGACCACGCCCAACGGTCTCACGTACAGGCGCAGTGCCATCTTGGTCCATGGGTAAAATGTCCTTTGATTCGGTTCCCAAGGAGTGCTAGTGTTTACATACATTACGCTCACTCCTATCTGCACCCGTCTCCGCTGAGGTAACCGAACAATACCGGAATAATCACAGTGCCGTCTGACGCGCCCGGTCGGCAGCATCAGACGGAGCTCCTCTGGAGGTTCACATAAGACATATCGCACCACGTAACACGCAATGCCCGCGCTGGCCGACAGCAGCAGCTGGGTGCTATCTAGAACCCTGCAGACTTCGGCGGCAATCAGGCCGCCTGTCGGCCCATCACTGACCTAAACCTGTGGGCCGGGCCGCCGCGTGTGGCGCCTAGCCGTCCTCGGACGGCGCGTCCCCGCAGTGGACGGCCGGCGCCTTGACGCGCCGGTGGACGCCGGCTATGGCTGACTCGGACGGCTCCTGTGCCCGAGACGGCTCCTGCGAACCAACAGCCACCTCCGTCAGTGCCGCGCGGACAACACCGACCAAACCGTCACCAGCTGCGGACCTACCCCCCCCCCCGTCCAACCTCGCCAAGTCCGTGGCGCTCCTGCACAGAATGGCGCCTTCAGCTTGCGTCCATGGATCAGCCGCGCTGGCTAAAGGGGGGGAGGGTACTTACCGGGTGTTGGTGAGGCCGAGGGGGGGGCACTGACCGGGTGTTGGTAAGGCCGAGGGGTTGGGGTCACTGACCGGGTGTTGGTGAGGCCGAGGGGTTGGGGTCACTGACCGGGTGTTGGTGAGGCCGAGGGGTTGGGGTCACTGACCGGGTGTTGGTGAGGCCGAGGGGTTGGGGCCACTGACCGGGTGTTGGTGAGGCCGAGGGGTTGGGGCCACTGACCAGGTGCTGGGGTGTTGGTGAGGCCGAGGGGTTGGGGCCACTGACCGGGTGCTGGTGAGGCCGAGGGGTTGGGGCCACTGACCGGGTGTTGGTGAGGCCGAGGGGTTGGGGCCACTGACCGGGTGCTCGTGGCGGACGGCCGGCGGCGGCACCAGCGGAAGATCGGGCCCTCCGCCGTAGATGGCTTTTAGGTAAGCCCAAAGCTCCGCTGGCAGCTGCACGTGGTCAGAGCCGGACCGTACCTGAGAACAGAACAGACGGGCCAGGAGCAGTGGTCAGAGCCGGACCGTACCTGAGAACAGAACAGACGGGACAGGAGCAGTGGTCAGAGCCGGGCCGTACCTGAGAACAGAACAGACCTGTACCTGAGAACCTGTACCTGAGAACAGAACAGACGGGCCAGGAACAGTGGTCGGAGGCGGGCGACACAGACGGCACTGGCTCTCGCCCACACTAGCCTGAAACCGACTCAGACCTAACACAGACAGGCACTGACACTGACACTGGCACCAGTACTGACAATGACAGACTGGCACCAACACTGACCTGACACTGAGACCAGTACTGACAATGACAGACTGGCACCAATACTGACCTGACACTGAGACCTGCACTGACCTGCGGCACGCCAGCGCGCGTGACGGCGATGTTTGAGTTGTCGATGGTGCCGGGCGGCTCGACGTCTCTGCCGCGCGCCCAGGCCTCCCAGCGCCGGTACCAGGCGGCCGAGAGGGCGGCTGCCGGTGGCGCGCCGCTCGCCTGCAGTCGCCGGAACTCTGTCAGCTCGCGCGCCCGGCGCGCCAGCAGCGCGTCCCACTCGGCGCGGCAGGGCGCGCACTCGAACAGCGCGTTGGCGACGGGCCCGCCGCCGAGCGCGGCGTGCAAGTACTCCCAGCCGGCCTGCGGCAGGCGCGCGCAGGCCGCCTCGGCCGGCACGGCCAGCTCGGGCAGCAGGCCGCCGTGGCGGCACAAGAAGTCGGTGTTGTCGATGGCGCCCGGCTCGGCGAACGTGTTGAACCGGCTGATCCACTGTCGCGACACGTAATAGGGCAGCAGCGAGGGGTCGGCCCGCGCGCGGCGCAGCAGCTCGGTGGCGCGCTGCCGGCGCTGGGTGGACGCCTCGCACGACTTCCTGTGGAGACACGGCCGAGCGCGGCTTTATCAGGTGACAAGGCGCCGGGCAGGACAGAAAACACAGCTGCACAGGAAAATGCTTCTAAAAACGCCATCACTAAAAATTTAACCACGCCGGGCACGGGGTAATCCCAACCACCGCAGCCCGGTGTACAATATCTACCCCCCCCCCCCCCCCAAAAAAAAAACTCCATAAATATTGGAGCTACGGAAACAAAAATGGTACCAAACGAAAGACTTCTACGAGACGATTCTTAAGCAAATACAATTTTTGACCTCTGGTCAATTTCAAGGTCAAGGGTCAAGGTCAAAGGCAAAAAAAAACGGCACAGGTATAGGGATATCCCACGAAGTGTTTCAGTGTTTCAGAGGACAGCATAATGCATGAAACAAGTTAAGACGGCTGGGTTAAGACAGAAGAGAATTTGAGGAATCCTACGATGTGCTTAAACTTCGAGATCAAGGTCAAGGTCATGCTTAAAATTGACCTGAAACTTTGCACTTTGTTGTATATCTTGTGCGCTTATCTCCAAACTGTTTTGAAATATTTTGAGGGTTGTCAGGCACCTATTTGTGATTCATATTACGATGCAAGACTGTACCAAGGTCATGGTCGGGCAAGAGTATCCTTGTTGGAGGCTATTTCACCGATTCAAGTCAGCCATTATAATTCAGACTTTTTATATCCTGAAGCTCTAAATGGATGCTTAGAGCAAAATGAATGCCAGATTCGCGATCAGCGGCTACGAATGTATCATATCACACCTTTCATGTGACAAGGTCAAACAAAGGCTAAATAAAAAATAAAAAAATGTCATTAGACGCGTCTTGACAAGACGAAAACGTTGGTACCATAGCCTTAGCTCTAGCGCCATTTTTGCTGAAGTTATTTGCGAAAAAAAAATGAAATTCCACCTCGGGGTCGTTGACCTGACCTCTGACCTAAGGTCACCGAAATTATTTTGGTATTCTTCCCTATGCCATATGCTACAAAACCATGCTCGAAATTTGTCTATCTAAAACTCTATTTTGGCAGCTGTTAGTCAGGGGCGGCGCCACGGGTTTTCGATAGGGGGGGACGGGGACCTGCCTGACCGAAAATCCCAAAAGTAGATACTGATCGTGTATGCAAAAAAAAAACGAGGCACGTAACGCCGCGAAACTTGGTAAAGCCCAAAACACATCGAATGGTGCATCCCGTTTCCAAACTTATCCTAGCCCGGCAGTTGCTGGGGTATTTCGCCACCCACCGTTTGCTGGGGGGGGGGGGCGTTAAACGCCCCCAGCCGATATCTCGAGAACCAATAGGCGCAGCGAAACGCACGAGGCGGCAAACGAAAGAACGCGACGAGACGCTTCAGATGAGTACTTTAAAGTTGAATTTTGAGGTCACAGGTCGGGTCAAGGTCAGGTCAAACACCTGAAATCGGGCTTTCAGTAGCATGGATTTGAGGACTTCGTAATGGGCGCCTCTCGTCATAAACTCTGTCAAAACGGTGCACAAGCCATCATATAAGGTCTACAAGAGTGTCAGCTCCATGTAGGGGTCAATCAAACATAGGTCAGGGTCAAGGTCAGGTCAACCGGGTAGGCACATATCCCCGAAAATCAAAACTGATATTCGCAGCCTGTGACACATGTTTTATGGGTAATTTGGGGCGTAGAACACGATGGTGACATTCATTTTATCATATGTGTACGTGTTTGGCTCAAAAAGTTCAATTTAAGAAATGCATGTATCATGGTCGTGAAGTAGTCACGAGAAATTGCCAAGATTCAGTTCAAGATTTTGGAAAATGCGGAACGATAATCAATAATCGAAGATAGCCATCTGATTGTGCATGGTATTTGCAGTCTAATGGCGTTTACGGCATGTCTGTATGTCTATTCTGTGATTTTATATGATTTTTTGAACATATGCCGTTTTTGGTCGAAAACTCAGAAATCATGACGTCACTAAAACCTCGATATCTCAAAAATTTTCCGATCGATTTTTTTGAAACTTTGGCACAATAAACTTCAATTAATTCCCTACAGGTAGCCAAAATTTGGCGCGCCTGCGGTGCGTCGTTTTTATGCTATGGCCCGGCGAAAAAAGTGGGGGCGTTTAACGCCCCCCCCCCCCCCCCCCAGCAACTCGCGGGCTAGGACACCTAAGAGCGATCACCTTTTCAAGCATAAATCAAAATTTGCAGTCTTGCCAACTCAAAGCTGGTTTCCTACAAGCTGCGAATTACTTAGGTATGATGAGTAGCAGTGCCAACCATTCTTACGTTTCGTACTTTCAAATTTTCAATCTTACGTCTGGTCAGCTTCATGGCTTCACCATCATATACAGTCATGGAGGAAGTCATATGTAGTCATGGAGGAAAAGTGGGAATGTCTTCGGCTCTGACAAGTGCACCAAAACTGCAATATAATTTCAGAATCATGACATCACCACCACCACCTGATCCATATGCAACGGGCAGGGTGCAGCTAATGGCTAGCCGTCAGTGGTCATGTCATCGGTGGTCACTCAAAAGGTCATGCTAGGTCATGGAAGGTCACCAGCCATTATTTGATCACACTTTCTGATGGATTTTACTTACCAAGAGCTTCGCGGGAAAAACGAGCGCATGCATCGTTGAAAAAAAATGAGTGAAAGGGTCTCAGGTCCGGCGACCTCTGCAGGTGAAATGCCCCATGGTAGGATTCCGATTTTCACAGCCGCTGACGTAAGAAGGGGAGTGGGGGGGGGGGTTGGCTCGATTAGACCCCCAGCCGTTCGGCCGCCGACCGAACTTAGTTTTGCAGAAAAAAAAACGAGTGCTATCGAACCCCTTGACGAGAGGGAGCCGATACTACCCAATTATAAGGTCTTGGGCTACAGCGTGCTTTTTTTTTGGTCCTGCCTGTGATCTATCCGAACACTTCTTCCCACAAGTGCTGGGGTTAAATGGCATAGATTTCAAATGGTTCCTGTGGTAGAACTGCCATGCTTGAATTCGACTAATTAGGAATGGAAAATATCCATATAGTAGCGGAAATCTATGGAATTTCAGTAAACTTGGTTTTGTCGGCAATGGGGTCTGGCAGTGGGGTGGGGAGGTAATAACCCTGCCTGGCGCCCAAAAAAGGGGGGCACGATCCCCGAGGCCCTGCCGATCACCTTATAACTACAGGCATCACAGCTCCACACCTTTTGCAGATGGCCAGGACCCCCTGCGATACATCACAACAGCAATCTTTATTCAGAACCTGCCTTGATTAACCAACGATGCATTAAATGCGACGGATAACTCTACAATGCATTATTATCAACTATTGAACGGGCCTCGCCGATAGGGGGGTACTGTACCCCCCTAACTTTCGATAGCGGGGGACCTGTCCCCCCCGTCCCCCCCGGTGGCGCCGCCCATGCTGTTAGTTCACGTTTGTGACGTCGAAATTTGCCGCGCAAGGGTCTAGCAAAATCGACCCTGTGACGTCATCGAGGGGGCTGGGTTCACATTTTTTACTCCAGGAGATGTGAAACTGATGGGGGAAAGGTACTGAACGTTCTGCGCTTCTATCCCTAAGCGCTTGCCGCTTGGGAGCTATCGCAAATATTCGTCACGGGGGGGGGGGAATATTGTCTTCCCGGGCCCGCGAGGGTTAACCCTCGCCCGGCGAGGGGGGTTGATGCTGATGCAACCCCCCTCCCCCTAAGGTTGTTCACAAATAACGTAAAGCGCCCCACTGGGGGGGGGGGGGCTATTCATAGCCCCCGTCTAGTTTTTCTGCAATAACTTCTAAACCGCTAGATGTATCGATGCCAAACTTTCAGTACCTTCGGCTAAATCAATTTGACACCTTGTGTCAAAATATGAGCTTTGTAGCTACCATAGGTCGGCCGGGACGGCCGATTTCGACGCAAAACATTGAACCACGGCAATCGCTCTCAAGAGCTCAGTTTTTAAACTAGATCCACTTTCTTTGCACGAGAGTACTCAGAATAGACTGCGCTATCAAACTGCCATCTCGGATTTTCAAAATTTTGAAAATGATATATATATATATATATATAAATTCAAAATTTATATTTCAATCTTTTTTTCAATTTTTTATGACTTTTCGGAGAAACCGGAATATATGTGATAGAACACATGCTTATGATTTACTCTAACAAGTTGTAGCCAGATGTCTTCAAAAATAGCCAAGTTATAGGGGAGACCCGGTAGGTAGGTATGGTTTTATGATATTACAATTTTCTTCCTGTGGGCAGTGGCTAGACCTGGTTTTTCAATTTTCACTGTGCGTACGTGAAATTGCTCCTCGCCTGGTAAAGTGTGCCTGATATTAGGCATCTGGGATCAACTTTTTTGCTCGGGATAACTTTTAATAAATCATGCGCCTTTTCCATCCATCAAAATACCCCGGGAGGTATGGGGCATGGCTCGGGAGCGAGTTACCTAAATGTGTACCTAAATGAACGAGTTACCTAATTTGTATATCTCGGATTTTTTTTTAATCCGTGACCTAAGGTCAGGCCAGTGGCGTGACCTTACCATTATAAGTCAATGGAGAAAAATGAAAATGCCTCTAGATCCGTGTTTACGCATAGGAACAGTTCAAATATTTCAGAATCACAATGATTTGGACCACCCGTGACGACCAAGGTGTATTTTTTGCTGATAGCCTGTAGAAAGGTCATCCGAGGTCAGTTGAGGCTACAAAAAGATTTTTGCAAATAACTCTCGATTGGGAAGAGATAGAACGCTGGGGATGGCTTCACTGTGTTTGTCTTGTCGAGGCACATCGAATGATATGCAGCATGACCTATTTGGGTCACCACGTGACATTGACCTAAGGTCAAAATTTGACCTTGAACTTTCCAGGTAAAAATATATACTTTTTCGAAGCGACTGAAGGAGAGAAACACGACAATGCCATTGCCATTTCTTCATCTTTGCTGGTTCAAAAGTTATTCGTGAAAAAGTTTTATCAAAAAACAGCTATTTTCACAATGTTTGACAT